AAGTTCAGTTATAAGACTCTGCGACACGGGATATTTAAAGGAACGAGTTCACGCTGGAAGATAAACTGTTTGTTTACTAACATGGATCTAGTGCTCGTTGTTGGGTCGTTTTCGACAATTTCTAAAATTTCTTCCTCGATCTCCACCACTTCGCGTGGAGGTCTTGCAGCGTGACCTCCTCGTTGTTCCTTTAAATACCCTGTGTCGCGGAGTTTTATAACTAAATTTACAAACATCCGCGGAGCCGTATGATTTTGTAAAGGAAACCTTTCTACGCACAAGCGACATGCTGCGGCGGCATTTTGTTGACACTTCCCGTAAGTTAATATTATGTTCACTAGTTCATTGTTTTCATAAAAATGTGCCATTTTTATTGCACAAAACACCCACAAATCAAAAATAAAATCACGAGTTATTTAGCACTGTCAAATCGAAAAGCGTACTCAAAACCGTGCAACTACAAAAAAAAAAACATACCCAGTATCAGTAGTAAACAAACAATTTATGTTTTTACAACGGAGTGGTCGAAAATGAGGAAGCAGTGCCAAGCAGTTTTCCGCTAAAAAATCACGCATGGCTGTGTGCGGTGAAGCATTGTCATGGTGGAAAAACCACTCTGACACAAATCGGTCTGTTTCAACCGAACGCCCTCGCGCAACCGCCTTAAAACACTCCGGTAGAAAACTTGATTCACCGTTTGATGCTCAGGGATGTACTCTGAGTGAATACCACGAACGTCGAAAGAACATATATCAAGTCATGGCAAGCAACCACCTTTTGTTCAGAAGTTAGCAAGCGGGATGCGAATTTCGCTGCGATTTGTCTCATTTGAATATCTTCAGTTAAAATGCATTGTACCGAGATCCACGAAAGACCGGATAATTCAGTAAGTACACAAGCGCGCGTTTCCCACGTTTTCAGCAGTTCTAGAAGTAGAAGCCGATCTGCAGGTTGAATCTCTTCGTTCGACTTCGACATGTCGCCGCGATTTGAATCGTAAATACTACTCATATAGTCGAGTTATTTTCAAGACATGTTCTTTGTAAGCTGTAGACAACATATCAACCGCGTCCAAAGCACTTTTACCGGGCAGAAAACAAAATTTCAATGTCGCAAGCTGTTCTCGAATATCATTTTAAAAAACTGAAGGAGTCGAAATAGCCATCGCGCGGAAACTGTCTCTGGGGGCTCGCTACAGCCATCTCAAGTGACGCCGTGACGCCATTTTGCAAACAAGGAGGGGTTACGAAACACCCATCTTGCGGAAGAAGCCGGAACTACAATGAGGGCGCGCGCAGCGAATTTCGTCCGGTTATTTTTGGGTCTCCCCTCATAATCTGGAATACTTACCTGTGGACGTCGATTACCACCCCTGACCATCTTATTAGTCAAGGAGTGTCACTAGAATAAAAATATCTCCATGCTGCTGAAAAATTTAAGAAAAGTAAAATTATGTAAGGAAATAAAAGTATTAGTAAACATTGCCTTTTATTTTTAAATTAATTATAGACATCAAATTAAAAACCAAATATACATTAAAAACACTGTAATAACAAATGTATGCAAATATATCATTTTTAATTGAAGATGAACAATTAATTAGTATGACAAATTTGGAATTTCTATGTAGAATTATTAGCGATAGGTACCAACGAAGAATCTTACATAATCAGTACAACCAATTTAAAACCTATACAATTTCGATACAATTAAAATATTTTATATAAACAAGACTAGTTCAATTAAAAATTAAAACTAAATACAAACAATAAAGTGAGTAGGATTTACTCAAGCATTATTTTTTTTTTCAAAAGAATTGTTCAATTTTTTTGCAACTGTTGCCAAAATTGATTACAATTAAATTAAATTGCAGGGATTTTTGTAACAAAACTAGTATTTCTTCAACTGTGGTCAAATTTTCTTTATTACAAATTAATTATACCAAGCCGTTTTTTTTGTTAGTCATGGCAAGGTAAAACAATCTTTATGGCATTATTATGATATCCACATATTGGAAAAAATTGTTCAACAATCATGATTTATATATACAAGTGTTATGTGTACAAATAAGTTTTAGGACAGTTCCATTTCGTGTCATAAAAGTTATTTATTTATTAGACACTGCATTCTATATGAATTCCACCAAGAAAAAAATGCTAGGAAAGCATGTGAGTTGATGGCAAAACAATTATGTCCAGTAAAACTGAGATATATGAATGGCTCTTGGATGGCAAGTTGTACCACACCCGGTGCATTCACCAGACGTAGCTCCAACCGATTTTCACTTGTTTCGGAAAATGTAAAACAAATAGTCTGATGCGATGCAAAACATTTGAAGTGCAAAAATGGGTCGATAACTTCCTTGCCTTGCAAGTTGACTTTCGTTTTGGAGGGCATCCATGAATTACGTAAAAGATGGCTGAAGGTTATCCAAACTGATGGAGATTATTTCGATGAATGAGTTTTACTTTTTTCAAAAGCAAAATTTCAATTTTTGGAAAAGTATTCTAAAACTTATTTGTACACCTCATATATTAGAACGTGTTGAGCCAGCAACATGGATAAATTAAATGAAAACATTAATTGTGAACCGTTATCACCTGCTAACTTGTGTTGCCAAGTTGAAAATATCTTGGCAGGTGCGAAAAAATTTCAGACTTTAAAATTAGGTAACAGTTGCAGAAAAATATGCATAATATTATTTAAATACACCATTAGCCAAAATTTAAGTGAACTGAATTTACTGGATTTTTACTAAGCATTATTTTTTTTTTCTAAATAACTTAAATAAATGCAATATCACCCTATTACTATTTTTATTTTCTTTTTTCTTCACGACTAAAATTATTTAAAACTGAAGTAACTGTAACTAAAGTTTACTTAAATTGGTCCAAATTACACATAACAATATTAATACAAGGTAAGTAATGATTAAATACCTACTATAAAATATTAATGTTAATAAAGTAAAGTGTTACTCATTTATGACGTATTTGGCACAGTCGAATTGTTTTAAATAGTCACTAAATGAACGGAAAAATTTAACATTAATATTTTGTGGCATGTAGCAGTAATAAAAAATAAGTTAGATGAAGAATAAACCATGATATTAATATAATTAAATATATAAGTGTAAAAAAACATGCATAGTACTATTTGAAAATGTTAATGTGTTAAATATGATGTTTACTAAGTATAATAATAAATGTGTATAATACTATGAAAAATCTTAAAACAAGTTGTGTTGTATACCGCCAATAAAGTTTCCAAAAAATCATTGAAATATAACGGACTTGTGTAACTAAGATCAAGTGGATTAATTTAATCAATAACGACAATTAAAAAGAACAGCTTTGGTGAAATAACTTTTTTAAATACTTACGAATAGTAATAATTGAACGTATTAAATTGGTTGCATGAAACTTATCAAAATATCCACGGCACTTGTAAAAGTCACTAATTAACTAAATTGTGCCATGCCACTTGACCTATATCTTTTTTTTTATATCTTTTATCAAAATATAAAACTTTAGGCCTCTACATATACCTCTGTAGGTAAATATGTAAACAGTATATATAAAAATATATTCCACTTGGAACTAAAATTCTTCAAACCATTAGAAGACACACAAGTAAAAGAGCTTATTATGAAGGAATACACACAAATTTATTCTAATGTCAGAAAATGAAATTAGAACGGACAGAAGGATCACAAAAGAATTGTTCTACTATCCTTCGAAATATGAAAAAATGCAATAAAAATTATAGAAATCTTTCTAATTCCTGTTTATTATATGTTGCAAAATGAATTAAAATCGTGGTACTCAATTACAGATTTACTTTTTATATAGAACACCCTGTATACTTTTATATACAGGGTGAATAATTAATATTGTGAAAAGTGGTGATTAAAAAACAGAATTAGAGTTCTTACAAACATGTGTCTTGAAAAGCTTCATTTTGCAAATACAAGGTGTCAAAATTTGAAAGAAAAATTAAATTCTCTGAAGATGATTAATGGAGATTGATGAGAGTTGGATTAATGACTTATTTAATAAGAGGTAAAAATCTGCTGACTTCAGATATAAACATGTCAACCAGTAGCGGAGATACCCTCTTAGAAAAAAAATCTATCAGCTTTTTTATGAATATAGAGTTATTTTGGGTTTATTGATGTTCCTGGTACCTGTAAGTAAAAAAAAGTAGTAACAATTTCTTCTGGAATCTCCCCTACTGGTTAACACATTTATATCCAAATGAAGCAAATTTCTACTTTTGATTCCATTCATTTACTCCAAGTCTCATCATTTTATGTTAAAACATCTTCAGAAGCTTAGAAAATGTGATTTTTTAAATTTCAACACCTTGTATTTAAAAAAGCATTTCTGGGCAGATTTCCAGAGAAATATTTACCTGAATTTTTTAACAATATTAATGAATTCCTGTATAAATGCTTTCTGCTCATGTTCAACACGTCATATTATTCAAACCGAATTAAATTTGTAAATTTGTGAGTGAGCAAAATTTTCAGGTGTTCCATTTAAAAAGTTGCACTTTAGGTCTATGTCTCAGCAACACAATATTTGATGATTTTTGCAACGTATTTAGAAATTTTGCAAAATTTCCATAACTTTTACATTCAGGAAGAATAAAGGAAGATATAGGAAGTGCAATTTTCACACAGCTGCTCTGAATATAGTAGAAAACTTATAAGATTTTGTTAATTTAAAATTTCAAAATTTTAGCACTTACCTTTTTTTGTACATTATTAATATTTTTAATATGTTAACAATATCAATCACATTAGAATAAAAAGGAATACCGAATTAGATAAATAAATAAACATTGCTATGCTAAAATTTGATAAACTGCATAATGAAAATGAAGCAAATATATCTTATCCTTATATCCCTTATCGATCTAAACGATTAAAATTAATTGTTTTAAATTTTAACATAGAAATACAATACTTAAATTAAAAATTAACTAGGTAAAAATATTTATAAAAAATCGTAGATACAAATTTAATATGTATAAAAAATCACGATATGTCATCACAAAGACTAGAAAGTCTTCAACTTAACCTAATTTATTGAGCTAGGTTAAGGACCTTTGAGCAATTGTCTAATTGCTATTGCACTTGGCGGACGTCTATTGCACAACGGCAATTTATTTGTTTGATGAAACAGTTTCCATCACATATATTTTCCCTTTATCATCAACGGTGAGGAACGTATTGAAATCTTTCGAAGCTGATAAATATTTGGCACAACCATTTAATTTTAAACAACTCAAGAGATATTTTGAACCTTTCACACATTCCCTGTCTGCCCAATGTGATATATTCATTGATGACAAATCCTCTGAGATATTATCCAGAATGTCGATACTGAAAGAGAAATTTTTAAAGTGAAATTTTATGGTTGCTATAGGGATAAGAACATAACTTCGTACCCAGTTTTACTCACGTTATAAATAAAACATACTAATCGATCTAATTGATCGAACTAATAACAAAATTATGAACAAGATAATAATAATAAATCTTTACAAAGACAAGAATAAAACTCAGAATAATGAAACATTTTTACTGGTACGATAACTGGAAACAAAATGCTTTGAGGTATTCTCCTGTTTTCATTCAGAGCTAAATCAGATTAATTTTGATAGATTGAGCCAAAAATGTTTCTGATACGTTTAAAGAACAAAATAAACTGGTTTCTTAAATAATGTCCACAACTGTACAATGATCCTTGAGGGTGATAGTATGAATTCCATTTTCAAAAGACAAAATTAAAAGCCTAAATTTGTGTATTTGTAGAGGTCAAGCGTCATATTGTTTATAACAAAAGAAAAAAAATAATTGTTCTTTTTCAGTTTGTCTCTTATATCTCCGAAATTATAAGCCTTTAATCAACATGAGGTATACTTATTGATTTATCGATTTTATTCCTGAGGAAATTTGCTACAAGGATTGACTTTTGCGAAAGCTCGCAAAAATTTTTTTTACATTGCAAAATTAGCGGTGAAAAAAAAATGTGCTAAATTTTTAGCATTAAATAAAAAGAACGAATTTGGATGAAACTGCAGGAAAAGATAACTATTGGGGTACTCAACAAATACCCGCAATCCGGACCTACCCAATTTCAAAATGCCGGCCTATTGCAAAATTATTGAAAACGCGAGCGCGTATATCTTCTGCCCATTATCTCGCGTCTGTGTAAATTTCAGATTTTTAAGATGCAAAATAAAAAAGTTTTTATCAAAAAACAAAAAAAACGTAACTAGGGTCCTTTTCTCGGCGATTTTTTAATATACAGATTTCAAATCAATTGCATCAAAAACATGGATTTAAAAAAAAAGCGTTTCGATCCGACCAATAAGAGCCGAGATAATTTTATTTCTTAAAAACTTTATTCTGCCTGTTCTATTTAATTTGGGCAAGTTGTAAAGTAGAAGACTTCCTTCATGTTTTTTTTTTAAATGAATCAAGCAGCCACCGGAATGCTTTTTTTTAAATCAACTTATTTTTTTCGCTCTTTTGAATGGTGTAGGCAAAAGTCTGTCAAAGTCATCGTCAAACTCGAAAAATACATATTTATTGACTTTTCACGTTTTCTTTTGTAATTATGCTTTCGATATTTTCACAAGAAGGTCTTTTTAACATATTTAAAACTAAAAGTCAATTATTTCTTTGAGAAAAAGTGATCAGTACTCTATTTGCGTGCTCAAAAATATAAAAAAATATAAAATATTGTCTTAAAATTAACTGTTATTGCATAAATTGTGCCTAGAATATTATTGAATGCTACAATATCAACATTACATATAAGTACTGCATTTTATAGTATTTAAAAGAACTGTTACATTCAATTCTACCATATTTTATTTAGTTAATTGTATTATAAAGTTCTTTTTTAATTTTTATAAGAATATTAAAATTCAAATAAATATTTAATGTATAATATCTATGTTTTAGACTTCGATGAATTTTTCAAGTTAATTGTTTACGTTGTATAGCACGTGATTTGAAAGTGGCAAAATGGCAAAATCTAATTCACCCGAATTAAAAGACTGAAAAATAAAATAACCTTTTCCTAAAAGTCTATTGCCTTTTGCTTTTGAGATAAAGGGATCGATGATTATTTAAAATCAAATTCTGGCCATATCTTAGAAAACGACACATTGCATTGGAATTTAGTACTACTAAGTTTTTAAGGATACTACCCAGCAAACATAAGAATCGCGGAGTATAAATGTGCCATTGATGGCTACATATGGAAAATCCACATGGTCCATCTGCTTTTACATGAGAGCGACAAAGTAAAGTAAAGAAATCTGTGCGATAGACAAGGATGGCTGTAGTGAAGACGTTTCATAATTTGAATAGTCACCGCCCGTTTTGGGTTAGAAGTGGAAGTGACTATTCAGATTATGAAACGTCTTCAATGTAACCATCCTTGTTTATCGCACGGATTTCTATGACTTACTTTATCGCTCTCACGTAACGGCCGATGTACCATGGGGACTTTCCGAACCTGTATAACCATTTATGTTAAGTATCTATAGTCTTTCCGATCTCAATTGAAGACCAGAGAGCTAGGCAGTATGTACCAGGTTCAATCGCTACGTAGCAACTCGGCATTGAAATATTTAAAAAACTTGCTCCCATATCCATTTAGCCTATACCATATACAGGTCCGGTCGAACTAAATGTGGAGGTGGTAGAAATGTATACGTCCAGTTGAAGAATGCACGCGGGCAAACGGCGCACAAACATACTGGGTGACCACGCATATATTTCAGTTGTTGACAAATTGTCTAGCAGTGCAGTGCAAATATTCATATAATTATTTTATTTTATTGATTATTTTTATTTAATAACATTTCTAACATTTCCTCATTCTTTCCCGGCAAGGATATGTTCAAACCTTCCGTTGGTTCTTGCAGAGCAGTAACATATTTTAATGAAAATGTAAATGTTTTTTGATATGTCATAACCAAAATTTACCATCAATATAATTATATTGTTTCAGGACATAAATAATTCAAACGTGTTGTTGGCCAAATGAACATTAATGGAAATTTTTTGCACATTAACAAACCATTACTTATTGTTTTTTACCTTTAGCAGAAAACTTTTTTAGGGACGCCTATGAAACTCATTAAATTTTATTGCTAGACGTTTTTATACATGTTCAAGTAACTTCGGAAAGACTATACATAATATTGTTATTTTTCAGCTATCTTACAGAGGTGGTTAGCTACAACCTTTCCTAGTGACATTTTAGAATATAACTTTTTTGAAATTAGGTGCACGTCATTTACTCAGCTAAAATTTCATTTTGCATAAAAAGGTACCTCTATTGAAATTTGTGAAAATGTAATGTTTTCAAGAAAAACGTAATTGTACCTTCTGCATATAACTAAATATCATTTTTTTACAACTATATTGTTATAGTAGCTAAATCTTTAGTCAGAGCTTTCATTTATCTTTCTTTGTTAAATTAAATGTAAAATTATTATTTACAAAACAAATGCAATAAATTCAGTTTCATAGAAGCAGTTTCTTTGTGTTATCATCTAACAAAATTTTATTTACTTAAAATTAAATCTCAAATGAAAAATAACAGTACACATTTTTTTCAATATCAAAAAGTAATTACATAACAACTTCATCAAGCAAAGGTGCACAAAATTTTTCAAAGGACATGCATGAATTTTTATTAAAACATTTTCTTCAACTGAGATATTTAGGTTATATAAATTTGAGATAAGAAAGTCAAATCATTTATTAAATTTATCAAAAATAAACAGATAAAATTCTCAATGCCTTGTATGAGGCATATCGACAAAGATAGAAACACCGCTCCTTTGTCTTCGTCAGTTGAGAACTGTTGTTGAAAAGGCATGTTGAAATGAGTGCCTCTATTCCAAATCCCGCCAGCTGTGAAGTGAGGGGTGTAATAAGGTGTCTGCTTGCAATGGAAAAGTCACTTCCAGATTTTTAACAAAATTAAAATGAATATAAAGCTAGCAGAACGAATATTCATGATAAATGAACGTCCCTCAATCGTGACTGATGAGGTGCTGACAAATTCACAGAAAAGCTTCGTGGCGACTGTCAATTGACATTGGACGAGATGAACGCAGTGTTTCCACAAATTTCCACCTTCTGCATGAAATCATTAATGAAACACTTGATTATCGAAAACTGTGTGCGAGATGGTACCAAAACAGATCACAGATCAACACAAAGCCATCAGAATCGAATCTCCATGGGAATTTCTCAAACACTTCGAACTGGAAATTGAACAATTCCTTGACTGTATTGTGACTGGCGACGAAACGTGGGTGGCCCACTACACTCGTGTGATAAAAAAATAATCAGTGCAGTGACAACATCCATCTTCAGCATTAGGAAAAAAATTCAAAACTGTTGTTTCCACCTAAAAAATCATGGCAACTGGTGTTTTGAGCCCACAAAGGCATGTTGATTTTTTCGCCCAGGCGGAAACAATGCTATATAGTACTGTGAAACACTGAAAACACCACGAAGTGATACAGAACAAAATAAGGGGAATGTTAAGGAAGGGAGTGTATTTGTTATATCACGATGCATGTCCCCGCACAACCAACTCCACAAAGCAATTCTTAGATTCATCCGGTTGGAACCTTACGATTTTCATCTTTTCTCTTCTCTGAAGGTGTTTATGGGTGGGATAGGGTTTTCTACGGATGATGAGGTCCACAGTGTCATGAAACAATGGGCAAGAGAGGCGGCGGGAGATTTTTTGACTAAGGTATCAGAAAGCTCAACACTTGGTTCACAAAGTGCATGGAGGTTGAAGGTAACTACGTTGAAAAAGTGTTTGATGTACCTTTCGGAATACGTAAATTTTTCATAAATATACTACCATTTCAATTTTCAAAAAATTGAGTACTCTATGGATATGCTTCGTGTGTCACAAATAGGGCATTTTAGTATTTTTTTTTTATATGAAGTTTTTGTTACGGACCTAAGGAATTTGTTCCTTCTATAGTTTAGATTGCTTTGGAATTACTCTCATACAAGATGACTCCACTCATAAACATAAGGGTACCTACATATTCCTACGACTTTTTCTCAAACAAATATTTATGGAGTTACATAAGCACAAAGTTAATTTTTTAAATAGATATGTTGCCATAACTTTTATTAACTATGTTTTTACTCAAATTTCAATGGAAAACATTCTCTCAAATTTCTGTTACAAAGCATTAAATAAGTTTTTTCTCAGAAAAGAATATTATCGATTTGGAACAAAAGGATGTTTCATAAGATTTTTAATGAATGGCAAATTTTTTGGTAAATTGCAAGTTTCTAAGTTCTAACCAATGATGATTTTTCATTTACAGATATAGTTTGTTACAGTAACAAGTGGGCCATATATGAAAAAAGTCACTTTGCTGGAAAAAGTTATGCTAAAATATTAATTTCAAAAATTAATAGGTATTTATGTTATTACTTTTAAGAGTAAAATCACTTTCTAAATGATTTATACTTTTTTTTAGAAACACCATGTATATCCAGAAATTGTTCATTTCTCAAGAACCATGCATACGCACAATTTTGATGCAAAGTGTACATCTGATAAAATTACATAAAAATTCATTTTTATTGGTCAAAATAATTGTCGATACGATTTTATATAAAAAAGGGGGAAATACCTCTTTGGCCGTCCTTTTCTAAATGGTTCCTCTTGAAACAGTTTTAGGTTCCACCAAGCTATATATTCTCCTAGGCTTACCAAAACTGGTGGTTGAATACTAGGAGAAAAAAGTAAATCTTCTACAGGACAATTATGTAATGGCAGTGTTAGAGATTTAAACTTTTGATTCAAATTCCATATCTGAAAACAAGTAAAACCTTGCTGAATGTAACTTATTGTTAAATTAGTACTATCGAATAAATATTAAAACCTAAAAATCATCGAAATTTGCCAATAAATTAGAATCACTTCCTATTGTTTCTAATTATTTTTCTTTTCTTAAAGGTATAGAATTGGCTGCAATTGTGAATAAAAAAGGTTTCCAGCCCAAAATACAGTGTGTAAAGAATGTTTCCATGTCCCAACATAAGGATATTTTAATATTAATTAATTAAATTTAGTATACTTATTTACCCTTCAAGCCTTCGTTTTTGAATGAAGATGTTGAGGTTTTCAAAACAAAAATTGAAAGATTCAAATAAAATTTTCTGGACACAATATATGACTGAAATGGAATTCAATGTGAAAACATTAATTCTAAACTCAACCAGAGGTTTAGATACAAGATACTATGGATACATTTTCCTTAAAAATTATAGCCTGTTATCGGCAAGGAAATATATTTTTATAAAAGTTAATTTAGAACAAATATGATCTATGAATTTGTTTGTTTTGGCACAAATTAGGAATTGGAAAAAATGATACATTTACATAAATGTAATATTTATTTGACTCATTTTACAAAACATTTTCAAAATGGCATTTTTGTGCTTCACAACACTTTTCTTCTTACTCTCTTAGATTACTGTATTATCTGCTTAATATAGTTTTTTTTTGGAAACTTTAAGGGGGTAATGTCACTATAAACATTTTTTGAATAGAAAGAAAAGTAAGAGGATAATAATATTGAAGGATGTTATTAACCATGTCTTTAAATATATACCGTTTGGGGAACGCAGCCTATTTTTAACACCATCTTTAGTACTTAAAAATCTGTAATATTGACAGAGACAGGCACAGACTGCGATCTCCAAACACTTCAATCATTATGGATCTCTCTGTATACACTAAGCAAAGAAATTAAGGGATATTAAAAAAATCCCAAAATTTTGGGTGATTTTCAGAGCTGTAACTTGGAGGGAAATGGTTGTAGAGAGAATTAAAAAAAAAAGGAAATTGAAGCTTGAAGTTTCTAGTTTTCGGATCTGCAGTTTAAAATTTTTTAGTGAAAACAGTTTTAATAATCATAAGAAAATCAACTAAAATAAAAAAATTGCAAATTTTTGCTTTTCTTTAAAAAGGCCTATGGACTTCAATTTTTTTTTGTTTTAGTAATTTCACCATAAAGCTCTTTTAGATAATTTAATTCTCTTCAATTTGAGCTGTTCCAGAGCCCTGTACGATGATTTGTCCCTGAGTTATCGTTGACCAAAACAAAAAAATGATTTTTAACTTTGGCAATCAATTACTCGGGAAATAGTGGTCGTACAGAAAATCCAAGCAGAGTTTTGAAAACTGCAATGTATTCTCTACAAGTCGTTTGGTTTTTGATAAAAAAAATTTTTCGAAGTGAAAATATTGGTTGGAAAAAAGGTAAAAAATTGCATAATTAAGGATATTTGAAAAAGTTGGCACACTTTGCAAATAATGAATAAACTAAGAATATTGACTGTAATTTTTTAACTTCAAAGTGTCCTAAAGAACTTAACCTAATAATTTCAAAATGCTGCGATTTTTCTTCTGTGCTTGGAATGTTTAAATTTGTCGTTTTTGCTGAAAATCAATGTAATAAGTAATTTTTTACTTTTTATTAATTTTTTTTAAGTTTAAAATATTTTTTTAGCAATAATCCATATTTTTTCCTAAGATACATCAAAATTTGGAAAATGAAAATTGTCGGAATATGTTGCATGCCACATAAAAAAATAGTGTTTCAAGGAAAACACCTTTAATGTTTTAGGATATACACTACACTAATGTACTTTCGTTTGAAAATGCTACTAAATGAACTAAAACTTCTAACGATGCAGGAATTCGTTTTGGAGGAGTGCGACACGCTTGAGAAAAAGTTTGGTTTAAGAAGAGTAAAAAAAATAAGTTCAAAGGTGATACCAAGAACAAAATAAAAGTGATTATAAAGATTAAAACGAAAAAATTGCACAATTTTTTTTTATTTCATTCCTAATTTTATATTTGTTCTTAGTCAGATCTAAACTTTTTTGAAGAATGAAATAGAAAGAGCATCATTTTTAGTTTTCTTTAGCAATATTGGTAAAATGGAAGTGAAACAGTTACTTACCTTAATATCACCAGATGACATACCAAGTGCTAAGAGAGATCCATCACAAGAAAAACAACACGATTTTACCTCGTCTGCAAAATCCAAACGTTTTAATAACAAAACAGATTTTTCTACTTCCGTAAATTCATATATATCGAGGAAATTCCAATCCATCTGCTTATAAACCACTGCTAAAATGAACTTTTCAGGACAGAACGTAGCTTTAGAAACCGTCACCAACTCAAATATAGCAGGATTTTCTAATGGCGTAAATGAAGTAGTATTTAAATTCCAAAGATAAATTTTACATCTTGCATCTACCACAATCATATTATCTTCATAGTAAAATATCAAGGGATTCTTTACTTTCTGAGTAAAGACGGTACCACTATTATATACTGTTATAAGCTCATTCCTAGATACGGAGATAATTATTCCCTCAAATGAGAAATTTAAATTCAAACTATCGCCGCTTTCATAAGAACTGATACTCTGGTGGCGAAGGTTATTCGGTTTGTAGCAATCGAGGTAAGTAATAGGTCCCCGATTATTTTTGTCGATCTCCAAACGTAAAGTTTTCTTGGACCGCATGTTAAAGATGTGTACTTCCCCATTTTCTAAGCCGTATATTACAAATTGTCCACATGAAGAAAAACAGGTACAAGTTACCGTCGACTCAATCTTGTCGGTTTCCGAAAACTGAATATAACCGTTGAACACCTGGATTTGATTGTACTTACTGACCAGAGCAGTGAGAGGGTGTTTTTTCTTCCAGAAAGGGATGAACTTAGGGGCGGTCACAATGTGCGGTTCATTTTCGGATGGTAAAATGTGGCACTGCTGCAGACTCTTTTGATCTGATCCTATAAGCAGTATATGGACGGACCTATCTTCATCATAAAAAGTATCTAATGATTTAGCTAGCCTAAAAATGATTCACATAATTAATTATTTGAAAATATTTTATTCAAATTGTAGAGGGTGGCCTGTTTGGATTGGAGCTGTAGGGTACAGATTAAATAGTGAACACAAGAAAAAAGCTAATACACACAGTGATTCTAAAATATGTAACCAATTGGTACAGATGAAACTAGAAGTGAAAAGAAACTATGAATTTTATTTATATAGCGAATTGCACCATTAAAGTTTCATTAAAAAAAGAATTGTATGCAGATATTTTTTCAAATTTGCTAAGATAGTAAACATCATTTTGAAATGAAAATTAATAAAATATCTTCGAAGGGCACCCTTGATTTTATTCCACGATTTGTTAAATTTTGCCCTCGGATTATTTTTGAAGTTCCTGTGGATAGAAAATTTAAATTTGAATCTAGTCTTTGTGATAATTTGAATTTATTTTAAATAATAAAGTGACATACAAACACTATGTTAAGTGTAATACTACTACTCTTGAGAAATCCCACAAAAAAAAATCATAACATTATTAAAAGGTTCATTTTATTGTTCATGCCATGTAACCAAAAGCAATAAATTAACAAAACTTAGCCTTCGCTGTCACTTCGAAAAAGGACATCGTAAAAATTATATATTGAATACATACAGGGTGTCCCACCAGGAATCGCCACTATCAATATCTCGGAAAGTACTGAAAATTTGGCAACCTAGCGGCAGTAAGACCAACAGCCAAAATTTTTAGAACTTTATGGCACTTCTGGTTATACCAAACGTCGACATTAACTTTCAAATGGGACACCCTATACAGGCTGTTACAAATTCACTTCTCACTACAGGGATCTCAGAAACCGTAAGAGGTACGAAGTAGCTTAAATGGGGGCAAAGTTGCATAATCAGGGGACCAAGATTATGCCTCTAAAAATCAAGGCTAACATGATTAGTTTTCGAAATATTTGAAAAAAAAACGAAATTTTGGAAATCCGTTTTTGTTTAATTTCAGACTTATTTGAGGTGATATTGAAAAAACAAGAACACTTTCTCATGGTCACTTTTTGCCCTCTATCGAATGGCATAATCAATTTTTATATGTAACGTTTCGTCTCTCCAGGACCATCATCAACTTAATTTTTTTAAATACAACCCTAGAAATTTTATTACATTTTTTGCAAGCCCTCATGACCCCCAACACTGTACGCCTCAGCCTGAACCAGATTCAGACGTTTTGTCTCAAAAAATTCATCTTCAGTGTATTCGTTCCAAATTTATCTAAATTTTTATTTAGATTTCTTTGTTTATTGAATTATCGTAAACTGTAAGTCTCGTTAGACCCTGTGAAATCCATCTAGTTATTCAAACTATTACCACCACGCATTAAAATAATATCATTATTATAGTTTTATTCCTGTGTCCATAGTTATTTCTAGGCTTCTCGAGTGCTCAAAATTCAAACAAATTCAGATCTATTTTTTTTCAGGATATTCATACAAATATATCTGACATACTCTTTCACAGTTGCAGTTACAGATACAATAAATTGCGATAATATTACGCTGATCTTCATTTTGAACCTTTGCCAAAACGAAAATGTGTTGGCGTTTTCATACACATTTTTAAGAATTAATTTGTCATAATAAACTTAAAATTGCAATAATGTTTTAATTTTGATGCAACAACTTATTAAGTTATGTATGACCAAGTGATGGTAATAGTTAATAATAATAAATGTTTTATTGTAACGTGTGTTGGTTTAAATAACTAGATGGATTTCACAGGGTCTAACGACACTTACAGTGTACGATAATTCTATAAATAAAGAAATTTAAATAAAAAATGTATATATATTTGGAACAAATACACTGAAGATGAATTTTTAGAGACAAAACTTCTGAATCTGATTTGGGCTGAGGCAGTACAGTATTGGGGGTCATGAAGGCTTGCAAAAAATTTAATAAAATTTCTAGGGTCGTATTTAAAAAAATTGATGATGGTCCTAAAGAGATGAGACGTATATACACAAATTGATTATGCCATTTGATAGAGGGCAAAAAGTGGCCATGAGAAACTGTTGTTCTTTTTTCAATATCACCTCAAACAAGGCTGAATTGAAACAAAAACGGATTTCCAAAATAAAAATAACAAGTACTTACGGCATAAAGAGACGCACTCCTTCCCCTTAAGGGTCTAAATTAGCAAAGAAGATGATAATGAAACTTTTGAACCTAAAACGTGTGGGTTAGAAGTGTTAAAATCCCGTGAGATTCCTGAAAATGCAGTTCTCTCTGGGTTTCTAAACAGTCCGGTCTATTTAACTTTCGATAATTGATTAAATTTTGTAAATCTGATCTCGGATCCGTGATCAGCGACAGCGAAAAATTTGGCACGAACGTTATTTCATGAAAATTTGTTCGGCCATATTGGATCCGCCATCTTGAATTTTGCAAAATTCACCTCGGATCCGTGATCAGCGATCCCGAAAACTCCCGTATACCACATTTAGCGCGAATGGGTTATTTTTTGAAAATTTGTTCAGCCATCTTTGATCTGCCATTTTGAATTTTGTAAAATAGACCTCGCATCCGTGATCAGCTACCCCGAAAACCTTCGTATACCACATTTTGCGCGAATCTGTTATTTTTTGAAAATTCGTGACATCTGACCTTAATTGACAATTTTTTTAAGGAATGAACATTTGAATATAGACAAAAATTTTTTTGTATTGTAGAACTTTTTCGTGAATTTTTTCTATTTTTGACCTGTTTTTTGAGGTTAGGAAATTCCTGTGATGTGATCAAGATCTTTATACAAGGAGGTTGCCTACTAACTCTTGTGTCTGATGTAATGGAGAGTGACTTTTGTACGGGCGCTTATAGGGTTATTACCGTTTCTCACAGATTTAAAGTTTTTTTTTTTGTGATTTTTGGTTTCTATTTTCAAGAAAAATATTGTTGTATTAGTTTTATCTTGTACTGTTAAATAAATATTGTGGAGTGGAGATACTCATTTTTTTTGCTGTTGCGTATTGTTAGACAAGTAGGTATTCACCACTGTTACTTAAATTTAATGTAGATATATCCTTTAATTTCACTGTAATTTAATTTAGATTGAAACTAAGATGTCTGGTATTAAATCTGGCGGCAGTAGCTGGAGTGTGGCTACCTGTAAGGTGAATGGTTTGTGGGTAAAGCAGACCGGTGTATCCATTAGCTTTTTAAGTTCCCTAAAGAAGTATATATGAGAAGAGAATGGATAAGGAGGTGCTACAGAAAAGACAACTTCAGTGCGGAAAATAACAAGATCTGTAGTAAGCATTTTATTGAAGATTTTCTGGATTTATGCCGTTCAAAAATAATGAACATAAACCCCAAACAATTAAAACCTATAGGTAATTTGCTAATAATAATTATATGATATGTAACTAAATTTTATTTTAGCTTTGCCTTGCCTCTATTTAAAATCTGCAACGTCCAATTCTTGTACTTGTAATTATGGAAATGTCCCTTCAACTAGCAGTGACAGAAGTAAAAGGGCAAAAGAAAAAGAAAGAAAAGAAGTTGTAAGTTAACTTATGACATCCAAAGTTGTCCAAAATCAGCAACAGGTCGAGTCAAGAAAATCTTTGAACATGGAACAACTTTTTAAAAAGCTTCATAAAAAAATGTTTCCAAAGATGAGTTAAAAATATTATAAACCGCACCACACTATTTATTTATAAAAATATGCCATATATTCAGGTGTCTATAATAAAGTTGTTTGTTAAATTACGAATTTTCATACAAATTAAGTATTTCAATGTACAAAATAAAAGTAACTTAATTCTAGGAAAGAGAAAAGGAGATGATGAAAGTCGAAAAGTTGTCAATAAATTGAGACGTGTAGTTAATTAACAGTTTTTATAATTTTAAGAGACACCGCACTATCAATTTTTAGTCATTCGACAATTTAATCGATATTACAGTGGATAATAACTATTTATATTATTGGTGCCATATGAGGTATTTTATAGCACGCATCTAAAATTTACAGAACGAACCGAAGGTGAACTTTCTTTCCATTTAACCGAATCTGTATTTCTTAACTTTTTACTAAATATAATTTTTTTTCGGGTAATTATTTTAGTGTGATTTGTAAATAAATATTTTGTTTTGAAAATAGTTACTGAACCTCATCCTTATTATTTTTGTGAATATGCCTAATCATTTTTATGTTTATAAGAGTAAGACTATAGGCTCATCAATTACCTAACAGTGATCATTTTTTTTAAATGAAAAAATAAATCTCTATGTAACGAAAACAAACTACGCAACATACTATTCATTATAATACTTATTGGTTAAATTTTGTTAATATATTAATTTATTAATATAAGTTCTCTTGCATATGAAATATAATTATGTGCATGTAAGTACATAGTATCAACATAAAAATTCATTCCTCTCACTCTTGATGATGTATTCCCGCCACAAAAATACTGCTACACTATTGGTCAGTTCAAGGTAAGAGTTTATAGGCAACCTCCCTTTTACTGATCTTGTGATGTGATAGCTCAATTCCGACACCGAATTCGTGATCAGGAGGCAAAAATGTTACGGATAACATATGTCGCATGAAAAGTACAACTTTTTTTTGTGTGGCTGTGTAATTTATGGACCCCATTTCTAGAAATTAATAATAATCTCTTTTGTGATGTAATGTCATTACGGTATTGTTCATAAGGATGGATAAAGACATAACCCGTCAGGTTTACAGTAGTCAATCTTATCATATATTCAACAATTAAGCTTGACTCCTCTTTGCGTTTGTCTATTAGCGTTTAAATGAAACTGGGCCACCCTGTACATTAAAAAAACTTACCCTTTACTTTTAAATTCTCTAACCATTTTATTCTCTTCGATGTCTAATATGAACACAGTATTTCTATTTGTACCAACTATTAAGTAATTAGAATCATCCGTAAGTGTTGAGCATAAGTGCTGTTTGTTCACATCAACCTTTTCAAATAATTTTTGAGATTTATTCCTCTCCCAAAAAGTGATATTCGTGTCGCTAACCGCAATGATTTTGTTGTCAATGGCAAAAATAGATTCACATACATCGCAGTTGTGTAAAGTTTGAATGTATTCAAGAGAGTGATTGATTTTAAATGTGGCGATGCTATCTTCATACGAAAAAATTATTCTCCTCGCAATGTCACTTTCCTGATAGATGATACAGGAAATACTATAACCTTGATAGCCTGTTTTACATAGCTCTTCTCCAGTATGAGCATCCCAAATAATTACACTGCCCCTGTGACTCCCAGTGGCTATTCTGTAAATTTCCGGGAACTGTTCGCAAAATGTCGCAGATACCAAAAAATTATCTGGTTCATTTATTTTAAATACTTTCGTTGGCTTCACTTTACCTCTATCGGGAGTGAACACATCTTGCCATAATTTCTGTTGAGTTTTAGGAGAAGCTGAAATATTTAGAGATAAATATAAAAATACAAGAGAAAGTCGATTGTTAAAGTTCTGCAGCAATTTGGAAATGAATACAGTTAGAGAAATTAAAAGATATTTCTTGTACTCACCTGAAGCTTGATTAGAAAAATCATGACTATTTCTCGCACTGTCTAATGCAAATTTCCACACAATAACTGTGCCATCTATAGAAACAGATAAAAAGTAGCGTTTATCTGGACTTATAATTATTTTTTTTATGTAGCCTTCATGACCTATGAAACTAGATATTTCTTTATCGTAATCTTCAAAGAATAACTGAAAAAAATGTAAATCACAAAACATTAGAGAATTAGAAAAATATACATGTCTATAATACCGTTTCCTAAATCAGTAATGGATGTTTTGGGATCTTGGAAACTGTAATGCCCTTATTTATTTATTTTGGATACATCATTCCACAGAAACGAAATTCCAATTACAGAATGGGAGCAGTGCAAAGAATAGTTACAATATAGAGAAATACAGAAAAAAAAGATTAAACCTATGCAGGGTGATTTACAACTTATCCAAAAAAATTTGGAAATAGATGAGGCATGAGAAATGGAGTCAATATCGTAGAAAAAATTTTTGGAAGATCCTTATAGTTTCCGAGAAAAAAAAAATATTGAGGTTGCTTATATATTTTTTATCCCTGGTTTGTTATTTCTAGCTCTTTTTTTCTGTCTATTTAAGTCTTCATCTGTCCATATCATATATTTTATCTTCCACTCATTTATTTGTAAACCCATTACTAACGCCTGTCTTTAAAATTTCAAAATACAGTCAATCTTCTCTAACTCGAACCCTCTAAATACAGCAAAATTTGTTCCAGTTAGAGAAAATTCGAGTTAGAGAGGTCAAATCACATGTAAAACAAGGTGTAGGTATATCAAATGCAGAAAAATATTTTTAAGTTATAGAGGTTCAAGTTATAGAAGTTTCACTGTATCTTGTTGTACTTCCTTTCTACTGCTTCTATGTATGTATTGCTACATAGTCTACAAAGATTATATACGAGGTCTGTTCAGAAGATAACCGAACTTTCTGAATTACACACTAAGGGAAATATGTAGTGATATGTGGTTGGCAGCACTGCATTACGCATAGCCTCCTCTGTAACTACATGTTCTTGGATTGTTGATAACTTATTTAGTTTTCATTTTAATGTTATTTGAGTGCAATATGTTTAAGTGTAAAAGACGATTTTTGAACTGTGAGATTTTCTGGAACTATGCAACGTAAATTATACGAAACTGTGGAAAACTTTCAAGGAAACATTTCAACTTTTGAAAGAAGATGATCCTCGACCAGGAAAGCCTTGGACTTGAACTGATGACTCCCACATTCAGAAAGTCAAATTTGATGCGTGCAAATTGCTGATTGTCAGACAAACTGTAGAAGAGGTTAACATCTCAATAAAAATTTTGATTGAAAAATTGAACAAGCATCGAGTTGCAACAAAATTTGTTCCTCGTTTGATGACCGAATGGAAAGAATGAATGACAATCAAACATTCATTCAAAGGATCATAATGGAAAACAAAAACTGGGTTTACGGTTACGACATAGAGACAAAAGTTCAATCATTACAATGGATTGGCAGTGATCCGTGTGTAATATATCAAGGCGTTTTACAACGGTTGCACGAGAAAATCCGCGAAAGGCGACCAGAGTTGTGGCAAGACAACATAGTTCTTGCACCATGACAATGCGTCCGTAGAGTCAGCTTTGTCAATGTATCACTTTCGTACCAATAATTTGAATACTGTCCTCTCTCAACCCTCCTTACTTAACAGATCTGACTCCTTGTGATTTTTTCTTATTTCCGAAATTAAAATCAGTGCAAGTGAAAAGACGGCAAATTCAGACTATTGATAACATCAAAGTAAATTCGTTATATCCTTTAAAGGCCATTTCAAATGAAGTTATCCAAGACTCCTTCACAAAACACCACTAGGAAAAGTGTATGAATAGGAAGTACTTTGAAGAAGACAAGGACCAATAATGTATAAAACTAATAAAATTAAAAAAAATTAACTTCTGTTATTTTCTGAACAGACTTCGTACTTACACCTTAGAGCAGCTGTATTTAGAATCGCCTTGCTTATTTCCTCAAATTCACAGTAGCAAATACAATAATGTGTTTAGAGAAACTCCAGGATAACAGATGTGAAAACAATATTGAACATTCTGGCTGGCAAGGGTAGTTTTTAGTAAGAATTAAAAAAAAACTTCTTATAGATCATTTGAATGATTTCCGGGCTGGTTGCCACGTCGTCGATTTATAACTCTTGACATTTCAAGAGACATATCGCTCTCTTCTTCAGAAGTTACTCTGAAACTCGAAACGTCAAGAGTTATAAATCGACGATGTGGCTACCAGCCTGGAAAACATTCAACTTTTTATAGATCCCTTGCAATTTTTATAATATTAAATGACTGTAATTCACCATTGAAGCTAAGTCATGAATCCAAAATAAAATTTAATACAGTTTCTGAAAACCCAACGCAGCCATCATCAATTTGGGAGAAACTATATAAATTTACCTTGATTTTTCCACTTGATGTACCAATTAAAATGTGTTGAGGGGAATCTACATAGCAAGCACACGTAATGTCGTCTTTTATATTTATGGTAGAATATTCCAAATCATCCGCTGGTCTTCTGAAGCAATACAAATACATGTTCATGTAGAAGTACAAAATAATGTTTCCTGTTAGGTACAAATATAGTACACTAAGGTCCGGTACTTTGAGTCTCGGTTAAAACTTGATTAACTGATGGGGTGATCAGACCGTACATGTATTGATTTATTTTATAAAGTATAATCACAATCTAATCGCCTGGTTAGTTAATCAAGCCTTAACCGAGACAAAGTACTGGGCCTATACTCGACGGCCGAAATTATAGATAGTGATTCATACATAATATAGAAACACTATTACCGTAAATTGTATGAAACTTAAAATTATTTTTATAACGGTTCAATATTATTTGCTTATGTTAAATGATGTGCCGCTCTCTTTGCACATCTATAACAGTCATAGACTGAGTTACACTGAACGCGATTTATTTCCTATCTCTGTCTATTGCACTTATTACAGATAGGGAAATGCTCTTTTTAGTGGGTGTAAACGAACGTACATAGAATTCGAGTTAGCCGTAGTTAAAAACGTCAAACTATAAGCGCGCGCGAGGGTTTGCATATTCCGTGACTATAGTAAATTTATAAATTAAAAAAATACAATCGGGACGTTTTAAAACGTAGGAATAATAATTAAAATGGATCAAAGTGCCGGTTGTAGCAAACGGTCTGTTGCTCATAAACGCCCTAACCTATGCGATGCGGAATTAATAATGGTAAAAAACGTGTATAAAGGAATTCGGTCGCGAAATTCTAATACAAGTGTAAGTGAAGCTGTTGATATGTGTAGTTCGTTGACAAAAGTATCCGTTGCTACTGTTTATCGTGCCATAAAAAATAGTGTAGAAGTGAATCCAAAGAAGAAAAAAGTGGAAACACGAGGGAGGAAGAAAATAGAAGTCGACGTTGACGTGAAATACTCCATACGTAGGAAAATTCATGGATTTTTCTTTAGAAATGAAATACCAACGATAAAGAAAATTCAAGCTGCAATAGCTGAAGATGAGGATATTCCTAATTTCTCTGATAAGGTTCTTAGAAGAATAATGCGTGACATGAATTTTCGATATTTGAAACGGAATCGGAATAGTATGCTCGTTGAAAAAGACGAAATTGTGGTATGGCGAAGAGAATACTTAGAAAAAATAAGAGAACTTCGTGCATCTGGTAAGAAGATATATTACATGGATGAAACATGGGTAAACGAAGGTCATACTGTATCAAAAGTTTGGCAGGATGGTAATGTTAAGAGTAAGAGACAAGCATTTTTAGATGGATTTTCTACTGGATTAAAGGCACCTTCTGGAAAAGGACGAAGATTGATTATAACACATATTGGAAGCGATACGGGATTTTTAGAAAATGGTTTGCATGTATTTGAGTCACGAAAAACGGGAGATTATCATGAAGATATGAACAGCGACGTGTTTGAAAAATGGTTTGAATATGTTTTATCATATCTGGAGCCAGGAGCAGTTGTTGTGATGGATAACGCACCTTATCATAGTAGAAGAGTTGAAATGTTACCGACATCAGCATGGAGAAAAGGAAATATTATGGACTGGTTACAATCGAAAAATATTGAATATACAGAAACCATGCTAAAAGTACAATTATTAAAAATTGTCCAAAGAGAAAAAGGTCAATACATTAAGTATGTAGTGGATGAGATGGCCAAAGATCGAGGAATTCGTGTACTCCGTTTACCGCCATACCACTGTGAATTAAACCCAATTGAGTTGGTTTGGGCACAAATAAAGAATGAAATCGCACGAAAAAACACCACCTTTAAAATAAACGACGTGAAATTATTATTACAGGATGCTATTAATCACGTCACTGCTGAAACATGGTGTAAGTGTATTGGACATGCACAGAAAGAGGAACAACGTATGTGGGATCTTGATACAACGGTAGAAGTGTTCATAGAACCAGTCATTATTCATTTGGGTGAAGATGATTCTAGTGATAGTGATAGCAACAGTGATATGTGAAATATATAATGTGAATAATGTGATATGTAAGTATTTAAATATATTAATAGTGAAGTGATTATGTGGCAGTGAAGTGAAAGTGTGACAGTGATAATATTTGTGAGATAATTATTATAAAATATGTGAGTATTTAAATATATTAATAGTGAAGTGAAGTGAAGTGAAAGTGTGACAGTGATAATATTCGTGAGATAATAATTATAAAATATGTAAGTACCTACTTAAATAAATATATTAATAGTAAACATTACAATATTTTGCGGCGGCATGAGCCGGGTGGTGGTGGGTTATCGATGCCCAAGAGGGCATCGTTTTATAGAAAACACTTAAAATTTAAAAAAATGTTACTAGAATATTTTTGAAGTTTTCTCGATAAAACCTCTAAAAATAATAGATGTTATGTTTTATTATATTTTTCCCATATTTTCTACATCTTGTTGCCTTTTACGTATACACGCCTATGGATTTTCGATCCCCGCACGCCTCATCCTCCTTACTAGTCCAAGAGCTAGCGATGAATCACTATCTATAATTTCGGCCGTCGAGTATAAGTGTCAGTTAAGACTTGGATAACTGATCGGATGATGAGAGTGTATACGTTTGGGCTACTTTAAATGAACATAATAATACTTTAATTCTGATAAGGGGTCGTCCATTAATCACGAGAGGTTTTTAGGCCACTTTTTTACACTCTCCCTCCCCCCCTGGTGATACGTGGTGAGGTTTGTAACCCCCCCTATTCAATATCACGTGTAATTTTTTGTTAAGAAAAGAATTTTAATATTTTCTATTTTAAGAATATTTTTTTATGAAGATCAATAAAAAAACATTAAAAAAACAGTGGCGGTTGTCATCCAACGCGGGTGGGGCAACGGACGTTCTTACAAAGATCGACCACGTCAATTGCACATCACTTGTCGTGATGTCATATCGCAGCACACACCAAGGCATTCTCAGGCATGGTTGCGCGAAAATATACACGTGATATGTAACAACAAACCCCCCCCCCCATTGTGAGCAATAGTGATGTTATCCAAAGGCCCCCCCCATTTGGATCTCACGTGATTAATGGATGACCCCTAACTAAGGTAGAGTTCCTTCTAAATCAAAAAATTGAACTACTAACTAAATTGAATTAGATGACAATGGGTAGTTGGTATATCAAAATGTATTTGCTTTTATGTAGACAAGTAATGCTTTTTGTCATTTTAAGTTTTTCTATTCATTTTCTTATTGTAATATATAGGTACATTTTATAGAAAATAGAATAGACTTACGAGTTTGTGATTGTGTTAAACAAATCACTATTAAAGATCATAAAAATATCCTAAAAAAGTTATCTTGATCGTAATCTTTAACATTAACAGTTTTGGAAAAAATCATATGAAGTTTGGAAGCATCCTTAAAAACAGTTAAAATTTACTTCCTTTGCTTTATAAATGAAGCAGCATTCAAGATAAAATATAATTATGTTTTATAAAATTGTAAATAAGCAGTCAATCCTAAAGTAAATTATTTTCAATTAATTAAAAAACTTTGTAGTAATTCCCCTGAATATGAACACAAAACTTAGTCGTAAAATCCTGTCACACAGCATTAAATGAGTTACTCTTGGAAAAGATTAACGTTATCAACTTGGAACAAGAGAAAATTTTCATAACATGTTTTAATGATAGTCAACATTAAATTGTTTAATTTTTTAGAAAATCGCAATCAAAAACATGATACATTTTTTAGTCAGAACCAGCCACTTGTATACGAGTTGAGTAGATTAATAATGGTAAGTGCATCAAATTTGAAAAAAGGAACTTAATTGGAAAAATGTGATTGTAAAATATTAATAAATACCAACAAAAAAATTATGTAACGTATATATATATATATATATATTTGTAAAAATTTTAAATTATTTTTCGGTTTATTATTGATACAGCTTTTAAGCACAAGATCAAACGAGAAAGAATATTGGCATCATTTATTTGTTAAAAGACTGGGGAAACTACGCATATGTCTCTAATAGATCTATGATTAATATTGTGTTCTAGAAAAAGTTTCACAAAAAATATTATTTTTATGGGCCACCCTCTAAATTTTTTGCTTATAGAAAATATAATAAGCTTGGGTTCAGAAAATATAAAAGTAACAAGTATCCTATTAGTCCAGTCGGTATCTGTTTCGGGATGTATGTTTTATATAGTAACGCTAATTTTTGTTGGAAATAGTTCTAAATATTATGTAGAATGATAATTGCGATATGCTGAAAAAGTTGTGCACAATTGTTAGCGCAAGAAAATGTAAAAACAAATTTAAAAAAGGCACATTTTTCTCCCTTCTTTCATGTATAACTCGGAGAATATTGACATTAGAGAAAATAGTTAAAGGAAAAAGAGTTTTGTTTTGAGATTCTCTTCAAAATAAGAGTGGTCTGAAATTTTTATGTGCATTTTTGTTGCTGCTCCGCTCGCATAGCCCCCCCACTTCTCACTCTTTGACTCTCTGCTCGATTCCTGTGAAATGTATCAATCTTTTTTGCATCAGAACAGTTAAAATATATTTATTTAATCAAATTTTTATACTTATAAAGTTTTTGCTTCAATCAAAATCACTTTTGATTGGTATTGTACAGTACGTTGTTTTGAAATACTCACTTCAAATGCGCCGTTTAAAAATTTTTTTTCCATTTTCTAGTGCTAACAATTATGCACACCTGTTTCAGCGAGCGCATATCGCAATTACTTATCATTTTACATAATATTTAGAACTATTTCAACAAAAATTAGCGTTACTCTATGAAACATCCATATAACCTACTTTTAAAACAGATACCGACTGGACTATATCTGATTATTGTGTTTCTCCATCTTGTCTAAAGCATTCCTTCAAAATGTAAGATGTGCGAATTTAATTATTACATTACAAAGTACTTTTTAAACACATATTCCAGTATCAACTTCAACTCTTTCAACAATTTTAGTTTTATGGCATTTTTCGACTCGAAACGTATTCCACAAAATGATAATTTGAGTTTAGGAAAGAGGGGCTATATCCAGCGAATATGGTGGCTATTCGATGACATTGGTTGAGTTTTTGGTCAAAAAATCATTCACAATTATCGCTTTGTGTGATGGTGCATTATCGGGGTGCAAAACCCATAAATGGTTCTTCCATAAATCCGATCTTTTGCAATATCTCTCTCGCTGTCTCTCAAATGCCTCATAATGCGCAGATAATATTCTTTGGTCACTGTTTCTCCATCCAAAGCGAGTTCTGTGTAGACAGCATCACAATAGTCAAAGAAAAGACTTTGATTTTTGACCGATTTTGAAGTGTTTTTTTTTGGTTTCGGCTCATTAGAAAAGCGCCACTCCGAAGCTTGCTGGCTCGTGTGTGTGTCAAACTCGTAAATACATGTCTCCACCCCCGTTATCATGTTTTGTCTGAATGTAGTCCGATTTAACCTATTCAAGCATGTCTTCAGCAACATGTTTGTGATGTACTATTTGGAGAAAATTCAGTTAAAATGGTGCGAATTGATTCGTGAGATATGTTTAGGTGATATGTCGGCTCTTTTAAACTATAATGAACGTTTAGAAGCACAATTTTCTTCGCTTTATCGATATTTTCTTCACTTGAAAACGGTGAAGGGCAACCAGAACGTGACAATCATCAACCACTTCTCGAACAAGCTTGAATGTTTTGTACCACTCATATGCTTGAGTTTTCTATAAAATTGAATTACAGTACGTCTTTCCTAACATTTTCAACGATTCAGCGCAAGACATTCCATTGGTAGCACAAAATTTAGGCAAACTCTTTGTTCAATAACACTATCCATAGAAAAAATCACAGAACACCCTTTAGGTGGACTAACAAAATTTACAGCTGTAAACAAACTACTCGACAGATCACGCGCAAACTTCGCGTCAGAATAGAGTACAGTGCTACCAACTTTCCATCAAAAAAGGAATTTAAATCTACTTTATGCAGAAATTTTAAATGGCAAATTCTGGATACTTTTTTGACAATGTATGTCCTCTTTCCTGAAAAGTTTGAAAACATAGTAACGTATTAAGCAAAAGCCAAATTAATTGAGGTTTAATTTAATTAAAATCTAGAGTATCCCAAACCGTCTTAAATTGATCTCACAAGTGATACTCTAATTTCAGATTAAATACTGATTTTTTGAGTTTAGTATAAATTGTTTTTCAGATAAACAGGATTCTTATTTTACTTTATTCTGAGACACAGGGTGTGTTAGTTTTTTTACTTTTTAATTTCTAATTTTAATGAAATGTAGGTGGTAAAAATTTTCCATGCTGTATACTTACTGCAACTGAAAGTATAAGTTTGGGGAATTTTCTGCCAATGTTAAAGCCTCTTTAAATATATAACTTTCTTTCTTTTCCCTCAAAGCAAACTGGATAATGTCTGTTTTTTCATAACTATACAAGCTACTTCCACACCGACTTATAAAATCTTTGTAGTGTTTAAGTTTTTCTTTTAACATATTTTCCTGAAACATAAAAATATTAAAAATTCAAAGTAAAAATAAAAATAACATTAAGAAATTCTTTTCGACATTTTACTTACATTTTTGGTAATACAAATCTCATATTTAATCATATCCTTCAAAACGTCTTCTTTACCAACTGCCTTTATTTTGGCCTCCAGAAACTTAAGATTAAAATATATGTCAAATTTCTGAAATGCCTCAGCATGATAAAGATGGTAACCTATAAATTGTAATGTATAATTATCATTTGGTAAAGCGGCATAATTTCCTTGGGTTACTTTGTCATAACCAGAGATCAATTTTTTGTGCAAGCTAACAGTCCTTTCTTTAGTAACATCTTTGAGGTAGTTTAGATATATGTCATGAATGCCATAGATGTAAGTTCTGAGATCGTTATGGTAAAAGGGCACCACAAGAGATTTCTCTGCAAATTTGTTCATTATGTTAATCACTTCGAAACGGTTTTTATTCCACAATATTTCTAGGACCTCGGGCGGGATATTTACATCTGGCATAAATATAGCAAAGTCTTGATAAAAGTCTTTTAAACCATTCAACAACAATTTTTCAACACATTTTTTAATTTTTTCTGTGGGAATTTCTGTATAGGTGTCGTATTCATTTAAGCTGTAAAAAATAACAGAATTATAAGTGTCAACTTATTAAGTAAGTTATCAAGTCAAAAGTTATTAATAAATTTAAGAAAGTAAAAATAGACTAAAATCGTTTTCATAAGTGAAATCCTATCTATTATACAGGGTGTCCGCAAATTCCACCGACAATGTTTGACTGCACATTCACTACAATAAATAAAGACGATCTACAAAAAAAAGTTAAAAAAAAAATTTTTGGTTTTTGAGTTACTAGCCTTCAAAGTTGTCAAAAATAAAACTAATTTAATTAATAACTTCATAACCCTTTTACCGATCGCGTTAAAATTTGGTATATTTATTTGGACCATTGTTGCATATTATTTCTTAAAGATTTAGTCAAATCGATATACTGGGTGATAGATTTCTCTGGTTACTTCTCCCTTTTAGCGGTCAAAACTTTTACAGTAGTCGTATTGTTTTAAGGCGGGCGGCAACATTGAAAACGTCGTCGTATTTAAAAAAAATATTGTCTCTTGAGAAAATTGCTTGCAAAAAGCCATTCTTGATAAAAATGGCATTATTTGCATGTGTGTACGTTTCGGTTTAAAACTTTGACTTCAGTAGCCGATGAAAATGTGATTATTCTCATGTTTCTTTAGTATTCTCATTACTCCACACATGCAAATTATGAAAATTTACAACTCCGTTTAATTGTCTTGATACTTTGCGGACACTTCATAATTTGCATGTGTAGTGATGAGAATCCAAAAGAAACACGACAATAATGACATTCTCTGATAGCCACAGCAATCGACATCTTGTTTTCATCGCCTACGGCCACCCGTTTTAAACAAATACGACCACTGTAAAAGTTTTGACCGTTAAGAGGGAGAGGTAACTGGAGAAAACTATCACCCAGTATATCGATTTGACTAAAACTTTAAGAAATAATATGTAATAATGTACCAAATTTTAACACGATCGATAAAAGGGTTATGAAGTTATAAACCCGTTATAATTTATTTATCAGTTTTCTGAACGGTTTGGGACCCAATAATACTGTAAGAAATGTTAGCCTGTTCTAGGCAACAAATACTGACAGATAGTCATTAAAAGTAATAAATTCACAAAACTTAATCGGTAATCAAAACAAGTAAACCATAAAATCCGAAACATTTTGAACAAGTTAACTTAAACACGTTATCATCATCTGGTAAGAATCTTTTCTGGACAAGAAGGGAAAAATCGATATTTGTTTGTCATGGGCTTATCGGCTTCTACCCGCGAAAATAAAATGGAATGGACGTAGGAATTCCAAAACACCGCCATATTTTGTCATAATATTTTAAGGCGATAATGCTGAAATTGACAAAGAAAGTTTTTCGAAGCCTTTTCTTTCTTGGAAAAACAAGAGATTTAAGTCAACAAAGGCTTCCCTTCTTCAAAGACATTCGGCAAAAGAAGGTGTTATATGTAAATTCAGTTTTGTTCCACATTCATCAACATGAAATGGCAAAATCATTCCTAGAACGTTCCCGAGATTCAGGAGAGGGGTCAAACGGGGAAGATAAAAAGTATCTAAGGTATAAAGGAGACACCCACTTTTTTTTAAGTTCCTAACTCAAAATGGGTGGGATCGAAGTAAAAGTGTGTAATTTATTCATTGCAAATTCTTCCGTGTATCCGTGATTCCCTGAAATGCAGAAATTTCCCTGTCTCATGCAAAATTGATATTCTTTATTTGATGGTGGTGGACACTTCCAGCATTTGATTTGAGATTTATTATTATTACTATTATCAATAATTGAGAATAAAAAATCACCACAAAATACATTGAAACTTTTAAATGCAAATAACTCAGAAACCGATAAAGTTAGATGACCTAAACAAGAGTACATTTTTTATGTAAAATTGAACGTTCCTTTAGATTTTAAACTTTTTTTAAGCATAGCTCAACAGATAAAAAAAATATGTTTTGATTTACCTAAATAATACGCCTAGTGTTGACTCATTCTTTCTGACTCACCCTATACATATATGCTTATATGATTACATTAAAATTCAAAAAGTGATGAAAGAAGTATACAGGGTGATTCAGTCCTAATGTCATTAATTTTAACCACATATTCGGAAGGCTTAATAAAGACAGAAAATCTGAAAAAAAATTTTTACTCGACTTTTAAAAATGAAGGAAATTAACCCATAACTCCCGCTACGAGGGCGGCCCTGGCAGATGCCCGGATGCTCGGAAAATTTTGTAATGTAACGTCACGAACAATTGTCGGCTGAAGCGAACAGCATTGCCAAGTTCACATCATAATGTGTGGTTCACATTTACTATTAAACGTAATCAAGTAAATAAAGGAGCATGCTGCATTTTATTATAAAAATTTTTAACAATTATATTAATTTAGTGCAGAATGTTTTAACAAGCCTGACTTTTCGAAGTCAACTTTAGTTAAAAGAAAATAAATAAAGCAGAGGTAGTTACCTGTTTGTAGGCACACCGCATTTTATCAAATAAAAAAAGTCGGCACACTACTAAATACCCAAATATACAAAATACATTACACACGGTTACAAAACCATGAACAATTTAAAGCGTTTATTCAAATCTACCATCTTCTATATCTCCCGCATTTTTCCAACTGCATCTATCATACCATACCGCGCAGCGAACGTGCAGGACATCGACAAAATGACTTAAATGTGATAGAGGCTGTTTTAAATTTAGTCGAGGAGCAGCCTACTATTTCCACAAGAACAATTTCAAGGCGACTGGAGATATCACAAACAATTCACTCAACCCGTACCATTTTCAAAAAGTTCAAGCTTTAGAACCAGCTGATTTCCCCAATCGTCTTGAATTTTGCAGTTACAGCTAAATCGAAGTGCAGCAGACGCTAATAGGGTTCCGTTTACTAGCTATAAAAATAAAAACTATTTACAGCCATTTAAACATTTAATTTGGATGTTTTGGATGACATAAGTTTTTTGGATTCAGGAGCTCAAAATGCTACGAATACGAATAAGTTGTTTGCAGCCGTGGCACTCTGTTGGCCACAGCACCCTATCTGGCCCCTGGACTATTTGTACACGTGCAAATTAAAAAGTGGGTCATTGACCTAGATACAGGTTAACCTAGGTCGGGAACACGTACCGAGTTGTTTATTTGTCTCCGTCCAATTGTTTTTTTATCTTCTATTACTTACAGTCAATATTTAAATACTACATACATTTCACCCTCTCTTTATAATTTATCTAGTGAGTGTTGGTTTTATATATCATTATTTTTCTAATGAAATTGAAATTGTTGTGAAATTAAATTTAAATTACTTGAACTCTTGGAGTTTTGTAACTTCAATATTAAATTTTATTTAAAGTGAAACAGAGCTAATTTCTTTGCAGCCATAATAGTCATAATAGTAAGCCCGAAGGCTTACAGCAAAAAATTAACAATATGATGTTAATAAAAACTGATTTTTGGCAAGGCATGCTCAATGCACAAGGCAATGTGTTGATAGCATAATTATAAAAAATAATTTATAGCATTTTAAATTATTATTTGCTGACGTGAGCAAACCGTTTATTTATTGTCTTTATATGAGCGAAAATATATAAATATGGCAACGTTGCATCTAGGGCGCGTTGTTCATATCGTAGCCGGTAGTCAGTAACAGCCTGAAAAGGGGGTTAAATAATGATTTGAAAATATTTTTTTCTGCTTAAATATGCATTAATTTTTTTTTAATCACGCCAACGTATTATACTCATTTTTCTCTATCTACTCTTAAAATTAATGACATTATGACTGAATCACCCTGTATATTAAATATCTTAGAGAAATAAAACAAAAAATGTGAAACAATTCTATCTTAAGAAGTTGCAAAATAAAAATAATATACGTACTTGTATTCGCCACGCAGAACCATTACTTTTATGAACTGCCAAATTCCACTACCATTATTTAAAACAAGCTCTACGTTCTCGCCTAAATATGATCCTATGAGAGCTATTAGCATTGGATGACCCTTACAAATTTCATGAACTTCTTCAGCGGTCGTTGGCAAATCGTTGTTAGTTTTTATTGATTTCTTAAATAACTCTAAAGATTCAGTCCTTGAAAAGCCAGTCTTTACCTCAACGAATAGGCACTCTTCTCTTTGAAGAATTTTTTTATTTTGCGTAGTAATTACCGTTTTGCATCCAATATTAAAATAAGAAAGAACTTCATCGCTACAAGCATCATCTAGAATTAAAAGGGCACCTTTTAATCTGGAATCGAAAAATAATGTTTTTAACAAGTTTCTCAAATTTTGTACATCATCTGGGCAGTGAAATATTCTATTATCTACAATACCACTTGCTGTTGCATATAACCTACAAAAAATACAAGATAAATTTAGATTTTGCAAAGTTTTCAAAAATGAGAACCTCCATAAAGGCTTCAAAATTGTTTCCACACTGTGATGTTCACCTAAATTTATCCAGAAGAGCAGGTTGTCAAAACGTTTTCGTACAGTTGGGTCATTTAAAACTTCGTTTACTAAACAAGATTTTCCATAACCCATCATACCATGAACAACCACCTTTTTGTCCCATTGTAAACCTAGTAATTTACTTTTAAGGTCTTCTACCTAGAAATAAAATATACACTCTGTAATATATATCCATTAAACTGTACTAACTGTACTTTTAAATAAATATTATGTATCTAATGGATGACAGACATAAACATTATATACTGACAATACAAACATCTTTTGTGATATTGTCTATATGATGGCTACAAACACATTAAATATAAAAAAGCAATTAGACATTATAGTTTAACACTGCCAAATTGAAAGTCATCGCTACCAGTTACAATTCTGGAAAAATTCATAAGAAGTAGCATCGTCTAAGTAACTGTTTCTTAACATATAACAACAAAAATGATAAACACTTGTCACAAATGTGAAATTGCGTACACATAAATACATACACCTATTCCTTTATGTGCATATTCAAAGTGGACAATTAACTCACTGTTAAGTAAATTTATTTTTCTGTACTTAGAATATTAGTGTTTTATAATATCAAATATTTTGTCCTCCCTGAAAATGGCATCTGACTAATTGCCAATAGAAAAATGCAGATAAGAACACTAGAAAGCACTATACAGAGTGAGTCACAAGAAATTTTACATACTTCTTCCGTTGAATATCCAATGACCATTAAAAAGGTAAGTTATTAAAATACAGGCTTATTTGTGGATTTAGAACAAAAAAGTTCTATATTTTTGGTGCAATTATATGTATACTGTTTACTGGCATTCTCAAATATTCAGAAATTCCAGGATTGATTTAAAAAATAATAAGTTTTTATAAAAAAAATTCAACCTTTACGTTATTTTTTTATGTTACTAAGAATTTTAAAAGTGGACATATGAGCAATGAAAACTGTTTCACATTTTTTGCCACACAATTATTGAATTTTTTTGTAATCAACTGAAAATTCGGAACAAGATTTAATTAACTATTAAAAGCAAACATTTTTTACTGAAGAGAATTATTACAATTCAAGGGCACTTATCTAATATTATTTTTTATCAGGAGAAGAAAATCTTTTTTTTACTGGAAAAAACTAACAAAAATTTAATAAAAATTTCATGTTTATTTTAAATTTTCTCCTACGTTTATGAATTTATAAAATAAATTTGTACTTAGAACAAAAAATATAAAAATTAAACCAGCGTGAAACAAGAAGAAATGTGAAACCAAGAAAAAAGAGAGAATTTTATTAATAACAAGGGCCAGGAAGATATTTGATATGTTGTACTTGTTATTTACATGTATCCAAAAACAACACCTACTACTTAATTTTATTAATTACCTAATTACAGTGTTAATGTTTTTTCTAATTAAAATTTATAAGATCAGTCCTGGAATTTTTTAGTGTTTGAGAATGTCAGTCAAATGCCAACCAACAGAGTATATTTTCACTAAAAATTAAGAAAATTTGAACAAATTATTCAAATATGTATGGAAAAAGATATTTGGACTAAATCTATGAATGGCCCTATACAGGGTGATCCATTAACGGTATCGAGCGGCTGTATATAGAAAACTAGACGTGCTACGATTATGGGGTAAAAAAATCTATTAACAAATACGTCCAAAAGAAATTGATTTAAAATATTTTCAAATTTGTAACTTCACGGTTAGGGGTGCAACTGCTATAGTATTACAGAGAAGTGTCGGTATTTTGAAATTTCGCCTATATAACCTAAGTTGAAAATACACTTTTTAGATACACTGTTAAACCCTTCACAAGTTTTGCTTGAACTTTTTTTTTGTTATTACCATAGCAATGTCAGTATGAAGGACGCCATATTGAAATTTTTAAATTGTCATAACTTCTAAATGCCTTAATCGATTTTAATAAACAATGGCTCATTTTAAAGAACTATTAATAAAATTTATATTTATGATATGTGAATAAAAATATTATTTTCCTGCGCAACGGTAGACGACGCTAATGAGAAAAGTTTTGTAATTGTCTCCATTTACTAAAAAAATTAAATGCACCAATATAGTTTTTTTTCATGGCTTGATAGACCGTTTATTAAGGAAAACAAATACACAAACCGGAGGTCGATATCTTTTTTCGTTTTCAAGTTATTCTTAAAATAGTGGAGTTGTGCTAGAACATCCTCCTTTATTTAGTTAAATTAAATTAAATAACATTGACATACTCCAAGCCAAAATTAAATTGTAAATCTATACCAAAATAGTACTTGCTATATTTTGACATTTTTTTTTGAAAACTGCATTTTTTAATAATTCCAAATATCTGAGTATTTATAATTACTGTTTCCACAACGAGGCAGGCTATGTCCTATGAAAATAAACAAATGAACAATTATGTCAAACGATATGTGATAGCTCTTGCTTCGTGCAAAATTAGTGTCATTCATGTGAGAAAAATAGTTGTGTTCTATATGAAATTTCCAGGTCTCTAACTAATTCTCTAACACTTATTTCGAGATTTACATGGACACAAGCCAACACATTAGTAATATTATCTTTCGTTCTTGCACAGCAATGTCTTCTTACAGAATGTAGTGACGCCTGGATAAACGCTGAAATACTTCTCTGGAGTAGCGTATTCTCTTGAAGCTATAGTACATTTTCCAAACATTGAAAATAAACTGCCAACATATCATACGCTTCCATATTCGTAAAAGGCAATTTTCTTGTTTACAAGTACTTTTCCAATACAAATAACACTAATTTTGCACATAGAAAGTGCTGTCACATTTCGCTTGGCATATTTTTTCAGTTAAGGAAACAATAATCGTTATAAATACTCAGATATTTGGAATTAATAAAAAAATGAAAAATTGTCCCTACATATTAAAAAAAGTTAAAAATAAAGCAAGTTCTTTTTAAAGACAAAATTGGTATAGTTTTACAATTAATTACAATTTAATAGGGTGTTTTCTATATACAAAACTTTGCCTAGAACTGTATTTTAATACATAGTATAACATGTAGATAAACACCTAAAATAGTTTATGTTACCTATTTCATGAGAATTTACTAAATATTTAATAATAAAAACCTATATAAAATTCAAATTTCAAAACGATTTGTAAAACATCATCTCATTGGTTGTGACACTGATGACGTCACTACTCATATAAATGGCGGATGGTCTATGTCAAATCATATGATAGGTATATACCTGCCTTGTATTAAGTTTTGATTTGAGAATTATTATTATTACAATTATTCTTAACAGCTTATCAGGTGTTTTGTGATTAATAGTGATTGTGTTGTACATTCGCAAAACGAGAAATGGCTTCTCAGGGTTTTGTTAAAGCGTCGACGAACAATTTGCCATGTGTTCATATTTTTATGGTTACCGAATTTATAAAGAATGACGAACGCTTCAATGCAGCCGAATTTAAAGATGTTAAAGCCGCAGCGTAAGTAAACATAATTATTATATTAAATACCTTACATTATAAATAATAGTTATAATATGCAAAAGCTAAATATCCCACAAAACCCACAAAAAATATACCTACTGTCATTCAAGATAACCTTATAATATGCATAACCATAAAAGGAAAATTAATTCCTTTCACATTACTTACACTAAATTGCATGTTCTGTAATAATGTAATATGAATTAGCCAAATATTTGTTATTTACAGAGCTTCACGAGAAAAATATGGTGACAGTGCAATTGGATATGTGGAGTTGAAACGGAAAGTTCTTTGTGCACTGTAAAAGCTAGAATTTGTCCAGAACACAGAGTTCGATCGAAAGCATATTCTGTATATCTCATTGTAGATGAAATAGAAGAGAAAATTGTGAATGTCTATTGTCAGGACTGTGCTGCTTCTTCAGGTAGGTTTAACTTTTAACAGGGCAAGTTTATTTTTTATAAATGTTGGTAAACATTTAAGAAGTCAATAAACCAGTATATCTGTGTCATTTCTAATCAGAATCTTTTTAAATAGATACCTCATTTATTTTAGTATTTGTTGTAGGAGGTTGCAAACACTCATTGGCTTTTTTAATGTGGGTCCACCGGCGTAGTGAAGATCCTGCACCCACTGAAGTGTTCTCATATTGGGTAAAACCAAGTCTATCGAATGTAGGAACTTCACAGAAATTTATAAAGGCAGAAGACTGCACCACAATCTTCGTCATCAAAAATGAATATTTCATCAGATAATTCTTCTTTCATGCAAGATGTTATACAAATTGGAAAACAAAATAATTTAAATGGACAAATATTGAAGTACAACTGTGATGATATGGAGCAAAACAAATTTGATAATTTGTCGATATATAATCTATTGCTAAAGTTCACTTCCAGTAGTGGTGTCAATTTCAGTGATTTTTTGTTGTTTGCAAAAGAGAAAATGACAGTTAATTTGTGTAAGGAGGTTGAGAAACTAACTCGTCAGCAAAATACATCACCATTGTGGCATGAAATGAGGTTTGCGCGGATAACAGCCTCTAAATTATATGAAATGGCAAAATGTCAGACATCAGACGGAACATTGGTGGAATCTATAATAGGTGCTTACAAGATTAAAGATACCAAATATATGATGCGAGGCCGAAATTTGGAAAGAAAAGTTGTCAAGTTTGTCGAAAACAAATTAAAGATAAAGGTGAAAGATTGTGGACTGTTTATGTTACCAACATATCCTATTTTCGGAGCTTCACCAGACGGAATTTCACTAGACTATGTGGTAGAAATTAAATGTCCAAGTAGTGAAAAAACTGTAAAAAATTACATAAAATATGATCAGATCACTGAAAAATTTAAAGCACAAATACAACTACAGATGTTGTGTGCAAAGAAACAAAAGGGACTGTTTTGTGTTGCTGACCCGGAGTTTGAAAAAAACAATAATGTCAACATTTTAGTTATTGATTTTGATGATGATTATGTCAAAAAGATCATATCTGAAAGTTTAGAGAATTGGGAAAACTTTGTTTTTCCAAAATTAATTAAAACTGTATGTGACAATTAAACTATTTTT